TTTACTACTTTGGGAACAGTTTATTAGCTCCTTTAAAAACCACTCGTGTCATTTCATTCTTGTGTGACTGTGGCCAGATTAAATTTAGACTTGACTAGTCTCTGCTCGCGCTACCCCGAGAAACCTTTATAGTCAAGACATCACACAGGTTCATGACTCAGTAATGAAGGCTGCACTAAACTCCAAAGTCTGTGTACTATCCCAGAAACCAGGACCTAACCAGAGTTTACACTCAAGCCATGCTTTCAGCATAAACGATCCTGTACCAAAGAACACACCCTTGTCCAATCTACTCCAAATCTCCGGGAATTTACAGGGAATGTAAGGCCTCAAATGTCCAGAAGTTATCAACATTCTAAGGTTTTTACACAGCATACTCTTTTCCTTTTTCAAATGAAAATTTTCCCAAGAGTGTAAACGACAACACTTCTAACTCGCCTGATGACAGCAGTCAGTGCAGGGAGCTACAAGTAAGACAGTTGGGAGAACAGAAGAAGAAAAGGTAAGAAACAGGACACCGTTTATTAAAACTTGTCACCTATAAAATGCCAGGAAGCACACACTTAACATAGGCCTAAGGATGGCAGGAAGCAAGATTCTAACATGGGCACCCCTCCCTCCTAGAGAAGCGTGGGACTCTGGGATGTAGAGGAGGACCAAGGGCTCTCCTAACGATCATGTGCGAAGTTCGGAAGTCCCAAGCTTGCTCCTTCTGAAACCTCTATAATGAAGGCATGGAGCCAGAGGACTCTTTATGGATGGAGGGAGGTCCTCTGACTGTAGGAGGACACAGCTGACGTGAACAGGTCTTGATTAGAACCTGAGCGTTCAGTTTCCACTTTCAAGACTCTTAAAATAGGAGCACATGAGGAACTGGATCATAGTAAAACCTGGGAACCAGTTTCGGTAAAATGAAAACCAATAACCTGATCAAGTGGTGTGCCAGCCATGTCTCCCCGCTAATCAAATCATCATCAGACAAAACTAGTTGACTTTTTTGTGGGGTTTTTTTTGTTGTTGTTGTTGTTGTTTTGTTTTTTGTTTTTAGGATGTCAGTTTAGGGTTTTCATTTTATCTCTCTTTCCAAATCACATAGGGCCATAGTTTTAAAAACAACCAGCTTTCTCCCTGAAAGGTTTGACTCCAAGACATGAGAACTGACCTAAACCTAACTACCACTTGGCATTCTCTTTAACAGGCAGTCTTTATAGGCATGCTCAGTAGAACCGGAAAACTAGAAAAATGAACTTGTAATCTTGATCAGTGGTAGACAACCCACCAGAATTCTGGCGGCATTATAAGTGGGACAAGAAGCAACAGCTACGCTCAGTACAGCCCAAGGGGAGAGCAAAGGAAATGAGAGGCTTTGGCATCATCTGAATGAATGGCTCAGAGGACACTCACACAGGAACAGAGGGGGCTCTAAAGGCCTCGTGCACTCAAAACCGAAGGCTCTCCAGTCAATCCTTCCACACTGGTCTGTGGTCATGGCTGCAACCGCGGCTGTCCTGAGAATCACACAGATTTCCTTCTTCACTGGGGAGCTTGACCCCCCTACTAGCTAACATCACCGTTTCTACCTAGCGGAAGAAAACTGAGGCCGAATAGCCCCACATCCACTGCATCCAACCTCCTTTCTTCTCACAAGGCTGAGCACGCTCTGCAGCCATCTTGGTTTGAACAGAAGGCAAGATCCCCCACTCCACACTTCTGCCTAGAAGCCACTGTTGGGAAATGAATATACAGGAGGAGCAATGGACTCTTCTCCTGGCCTGTGAACTCTCTGGTTGCTGGGAGGCTGGGCACTCTTGGGATTATCAAACTTTAGGTTTGACAGCTGAAAAGAGGCATAGGAAGAAACCATGGTCTACACAACCAAAAGGTTCACAGGTTTCTGTCCAACCATCCCCCTGTAAGACCTGATCAGCCTCAGGTGTGTCTGGCCTGACCTCATAAGACTAAATTTTTTTCCTGAAGGGAACAGGGGGAAAAAAAAATCAAGGCCAAAGGTCAAGCCCACTGCTGTCAATCACATTCCACATTGGTAATTCACTTATTACCAATTAGAAACGGTGCTGTCTCATAAAACTTATCATAAAAGCCTACAACTTCTCTCAAAGCGCCTACCACGTGCTAGAGAGCCGCGCTAAATCCAGGACAGCTGTCAGTGCGTACCTGTAAAACCGTCCCAGGATTTCTCATTTCTCAAAGATTTTTTTAAGTTATTTTCCTTAATTTTCATATTTTCAGGGGCGTTTCTAAAAGGTCTCAAAACGAAGCTGCTCTAGACTATGTAGCACAGTTTTGAAGAGGCTGATCTCTGAAGCCAAGTAACTTACCTACATGGCAAACTCTCCTTGACTAAAATGGAGCATGGTAACAGGAACGAGTGGAGCCGGCAGCTGGGCGGACAGAACCAGTTGTCAAACCTTCATTTCCCGTCATGCTACGAGACATGAAACGATGCTCCAGCTCGCACCCAGAACAACCAACTTGTTATTGCAGATTCCATGAGGAAGAGCTTCCTCCAATGATCTCCACGGGTTTCACACAGTATCAGCTACCACCACCTCCCGTGGTGCTGAAAGGAGCCAAATTTGGGGAGGGATATAAAAAAGAGGGTTGCCCTCTAGAGTCACCCCAACCAAAAGGAGGAAGGGTCCACCGCCCTCTCAATGTTTTCATTGTAAGCATTTGCCTTGGGATTCACTCTTTCTTTCAATGAACCCTAGACCCGCTTTTCATTCCAGGTACTGGCAGACATCCTGGACAAAGCCCATGCTCTGTCCAACCCTGGATCCTCACAAGAATCTAGCAAGACACTGGTCTTCAGGAGTGCTCCACCAAATGACACCGCCCTCTCCTTGGGAATGCTCTGATCTCAACAGTAACCTGACATTGAGTCTGGCCAGAACACCGCCAGTTTGGATCAGGTTATTCCAGGAAGGCCATCTGACCATCTGCAGGTCGCACACGGAACAAAATGAGAGAATCACGTAAAATTGGAAGACCCTTCCTCATGCCCTCAAAAATGTCTCACGGCACTGGCCATCGCAAAGTTCTTTTGCAAAGTCTGAAAACGTGATCACAAGGAAGCAATGATGAGGCAGATAAAAATAGACTCCCCGGGAATGTGCCTGACATTATTACACAAAGTCTTGCAGGCTTGTTGGAGAACTCATAGCACCTGCCCTCCAACCACTCTTTCAATTCTGATTTCTCGGGAGGGAGGGGCAAGAAAGAGGGTGTGCAGAGGATGCAATGGAAGCATCCAAACCTTAGTGGGAGAAGCCTAGGATTAGCCTAACACTCAGTGTGGACACAAGGTCTATGTACAGGTTGGAGTGGGAGAAGCCTAGGATTAGCCTAACACCCAGTGTGGACACAAGGTCTATGTACAGGGTGGAGTGGGAGAAGCCTAGGATTAGCCTTACACCCAGTGTGGACACAAGGTCTATGTACAGGGTGGAGTGGGAGAAGCTTAGGATTAGCTTTACACTCAGTGTAGACACAGGTCTATGTACAGGGTGGAGTGGGAGAAGCCTAGGATTAGCCTAACACCCAATGTAGACACAAGGTCTATGTACGGGGTAGAGTGGGAGAAGCCTAGGATTAGCCTAACTCCCAGTGTAGACACAGGCTTATGTACAGGGTATAGAGCTGCTTCTAGGTGTACAGTACGTTCACTGTCCTGATAGTAAAGAATGGAGCAACCACAGCCACAACTTAGATTACTTAAGCGTAAACTGTGGTTGTCACTTCCTTTCCAAAAATGGTTTTTCATGAAAGAGAAAATCCAGGGAGTGAGATCGCCAAAATAGCACGCAACATCCCTTATGTTTGCCCGATTTTGCAATAAAAAGGATAGTTACATGGATTGAGGCTTTTCCGCGAATGGAGACATGGTCATGGGACATTTTTGAAGTGCGAGATACTGACCCCAATTTAAAAGGATTTGCTACTTAAGGAGGAAGTAATGCTAGACTGTAAGTACCAACCACAGGCTTAGAACAATCTCCCCAGTTAAGACAGGGCTTAGGGCATCTTGGTACAGGGACTTAGCAATAGAATTCGGTCTCCATGCTTCCTTTACATTGCATTTAAAAGCAAATTAATTTTTTTTCCAGAATGAAAACATTGGTATCTTCCCACCTCTTTGCATACAAGTAAGGAACACAAACCACAAGGTTCCCAGGCTTTTCTCCCTTCAGCATCTCAAGTACAGTATCCCTGGGTTCCCAAGTCACAAAGCAAAGCCAACGAATGGAATTCATAGAGAACCTGCTCATTCAAGGAGGCTCAGAACACTCGCTGCATTTTCACAGGAAACCTGTTTTGAAGCCTTCACTTCTGTGAACCATTGTGTTTATCCTTCCCATCCGGCATGCAAAACACGATACAGCCTCCATTGCATCCACAGCACTGATGCAACCTACGCTAAGTCCACCCACAATCCTTGAGTATTCCGTATGCAAACACACCACAACCCCCGCCCCAAGCATTCAAGGAGCCTCAGCAGAGCCCCTGTGTGCAAATCGAACCAGCCTCAGATGGGCATGGGCAGAACCTCGAATCATCTAGAACGGTGCATGGAACCTGTTTCTTTTTAAGGGGTGGGAGGGGGGGTGTTGTCTGTTTAAATACCCTCTAAGGTAACTGGCCATAATGCAGGCACAGGCAAACCTGGCACTGCGGTCAACCCTAGACGCAGGCTCTCCTTTCACAAAGCTCAGGGAGGCTGCAGTCCTCATATCTCCCTGCAGACCAGATGCTCGGCTCGATCCCCCTCCCCGATTTTACCTAACTAATAGCTCTCCAACCCCATATTGAGAGGGCCTGCTGTGGATCTTGCAGAGGTACAAAATGGTGGATGGGAGCTAATTTTTCCCTGCTCTCCCCATAACTCGGCACATCCATCACAGCAGGTCCTCTACCCACCAAACCCCCAAACTAGCCGCGGCGCACCGAACACGGCCAGCGGCTGAACAGTGGTTACCAACCTGATGTCATGTAGCCCCGAGAAGCCTGGGGCACGAAGGCCGCGGGGAAGCGCTTGTGCAGGCGGTAGTCCTTCTCGCTGCGGGACCTCATGCGGTCCGAGGCCCGGTCCGAGAAATCCGAGCTAGGCCAGGCTCGCCGCAAGGTTGTGCTCCGGGTCTTCTTCATGGTGGGCAAGAGCGACCCTGGTGCCCCGATAGTGGGGCCTCAGCGCCGGGGCGCAGCGCGCTGCTTCATCCGTCTACCGCGGCCACGACCCGGGAGGATTCTGCGCGCATTTTTTTCCCCAGCCCCTCTTCTCGTCGGTGTCTACACCGCCAGAGGCAGGTCCGGCCCTCCCCACGCCCCCCCACACCCCCACGGCGAAGGCTCCGATTTTACACTCGTCCCACAATGCATTCCACTTCATTTGCAATCCTCCCGGCTTCCAGCTTCCAGATTCCTGGGGAGGAAGGCACGTTGGGAGGCTCGGCTGCAGGGAGGGGGCGGCCGGGGTGGGGGCGCCGAGACTTGCAGCGTGGAAGCAATGGGAGCGCAGACAATGGCCCGATTCAGCGCAGGAGTGCTTAGCCAACTGTGCGCCACAGCACAAAAGACCCAAACAAATGAGGAAGCCGAGGCCTCCGGGGGCCGACCCGGGATCGCTCGCCCAGGAAGCTTGACCCGGCGGCTGCAGCCTCAACCGTACAGGGAGGCTTCAGCGCGAGGCGGCGTGGGGATGACAGCGTCCGAGTCGCGTCCCCCCGGACCTCCCAGCCGCGAGGCCCGCAGTCCCCGGCGCTGCCTGCCTCTGCTTCTCCCACAGTCCTCGGGAGGCAGTCTTCATTCCAGAGGCTCGAACGGGGGGCGCGCGGGAGCACCGGGACCGCCGCTGCGACAACGCAGGAAGAGCCCAATGGGTGCTGACGACCGCGGCGCCGCGTCAGGCTTCCTCCTTCCAAGGCTGGCGGGGGCGCGGGAGGGTGGGGGCGCGTGCCGACACGCGTGGGTCCCCCGCCGCAGGCATACTCCTACTCACGGGCCGCGGTGGCTGCGGAGCCCGGCGATCGGCCCGCGCGCGGGGCCATCGCCGCCCGGTGACTAGCGCGCTGCGCGTTGGCACGGCAGGAAGCGGGACGGCCACCCAGTGTCATGCTAATCTCGGGGTTGAGCAGAGGCTCAGCGGGGATCCCGGCAGCAAAGCCCCAGCGGCGGCGGCGGCGGCGGCGACGGCGGCGGCGACGGCGACGACGACGACGACGCGGGGCCTGGGCCCTGCCGATGACACCGCGCGGATCGTTCCACGTCTTTCCGATGGTCCCTCCCCCTCGCTCCGAGGGCTAGCCTTCGTGGGAACGCGCCGATCCGCGGCACCCGGCCCGGCCCACCTGCGCCCAGCCGGAGCCACGGGGCGCCGCGAACGCGCGGGGACGCCAGGCCCACGCTGCCTGCCACGCGCCAACGGCCTGTTCCCTCCGCGATCCTGAGTGGCAGTCACTCCCCGGTGGCTTGGTTGCGCTGGCGGACCCGGGGCCTCCGCACCGCCCGGCCCTGCACAGCTGTTTATGGTCCAAGCACCAATCGCTGCAGGACAGCGGTGTGCGCGGAGGAGGGGGCGCGGGCCAGACGCGAGGTCACGCCGAGTTAAAGGCGCCCGGCCTGGCCGCCAGCCTCGCCACGCGCCGCCACTCCCATTCTCATCCGCCACGCTCACCTCCCCACTTGGGTTGCCAAAAATGCGTATTGAGCTATAAACAACGATAATAAAGCTGATTGCCTCTCGAAGAGATCTGTCATTTGGCGTTTGAGCATTTTTTTTTTAGTGCATCATCTGTGACAAGGAGACGTTTCCAATCATTTTAAAGGTGATATTCCACGCTGATGGGTGACAAGATGAGATGCAGAGCCAGCAATAGGAAGCCTTCATGGGAACTCAGCAGTCGGAGGGCTCTAAAGGGTTAAGATTCAGAAAGCCCTGGCAAGACTTCCAGGAGGCAGAAAGGCAATGAGATCTAGTCTATCTATCGTCAGTATCTCTTGTCAGAAAAAAATAAATAAATAAATAAATAAATAAAAATCTCTCTGCGGATACTAAGGGGCGGGGATAAAAAGCCACAAGTCACTTATAAAACGCATAACTACATCAAGCAATATTAATTACTAAGTAGAAACCTATTAGCCAATGTTCAGTAGCCACTTTATAAATCAAGACAATCCCTCAAAAGGTGCCTTTTGCTAAAATGCAAAAATCAGAAAAACTACTGGCCTAGAAGGTCTAAAGGGCCATAGAGGTGGGTTTTTTTAATGTTTTCATAAATGCGAGTTATGACATTTAGATATCTCAAATCAACAATTACTAGTACCTCTCATGATGCCAAGGTGGTTACACTAATTATCGTAACAATTAGGAGTTAAGAGTAATGGCAATCTTGTGACAACTGTGGAAGTCACTAACTGAGCAGATCGCGTGTGCGAAATACCACATATGGCTCCCTGCGATGAATGGTCTAGTGGGACAGAAATGCAGAACGCTCCATAAAAGCCAAAACTCTGTGCCACATTTTGTGAAGATGCAGAACCTCCATGGGACATGGCAGGAGCTGAGGTCTATAGCATGAAGAATTCCTCAAGCAGGGAAGAAGATGGTGTTTGGGGCCATGGGAACAGCCGTGCAAAGGCCCTGGGGTAGAAAAGAATCTTGGTTTCTGTTGGAAGAAATGCAAGAAGGCCAGTATGCCTGGGATCAGAGCTGAGCAAGAAAGTCGTGGGCGATGAGGTCATGGAGGAAAGGAGAGTAGCTCATGCAGGGACTTGTCAGCCATGTTCAAGGTTTTACATTCTACTCCTGGTGGACTGGGAGCCACAGACGGGCTCAAAGCAAAATTCAGTCATAATTTTACAATTTTTGTGTAGAAGGAGCTAGAGGGTGGAATAGGAAGCGGGGACTGGTTGGAAATTTGTGGGAAGTTAAGTTTGAATTACAGGTCGTTTGTGGGGAAAACAGGGTGTTCATGTTCGCATCCTGAAACAATGAGTGGGCCTGCGCATGTTTGAAGAGAGAAGCTATAACAGGTCTTGGTCACCTGTGACAACAAACCTTGCAGAGAAGTGAGAGCCTGCAGTAGCCAAGCAGCCAGACTCATAAGAACCAGGCAGTCAATACGTCAGGGCTCTCGGAGCCCAGATGATGCCTGAAGCAGGGATGATGGGCCCCACTCAGTAACTGACTCACCCACGTTGGCTAACAAAGTGCAATGGTCATCCGAAGAGAAGAGATGGGTACGCCCACTGTGAAAGTCAAGTTCAGCTTGTCCATTTGTGCTTGTACGTGACCCCTGGATCCCTAGCCACAGTTCCTAGTCCCCTAGCTCTCCTGAGACAACAGCGTCTCTTAGGCATGAACTATCCACCAAGGCAGCCCATCTTTGGGAACCCCCAATATTCAACCTGGGAGTTCACAAATATAATCTAATTGCCAGAAAGATAGTTGAGCTACAAGCCCGAGGATATGAGTTACACAACCACAACCCATGTAAAAAGAAGCCAGGCGTGGTGGCAACACACCTGTAAATCCAGTACCGGAGGGGTGGAGACAAAAGGATCCCCGTGGCTCACTGGCCAGCCAGTCTATCACAATCAGAGATGTCCTGGCCAATGACGGACAGTGTCTCAAGAAAACACCAGTGGATGGAACCTGACGAACACCTGAAGTGAACCTCTGGCCTCCACCCACAGATGTAAAATTCTACCGTGTGGATAAGCTGCATTTTGTTTATGCATTGATGGAAATGAGTTGCTTTCACGTTTTAACTTTGATGACTAACACTGTTACGCTCGCCAATCTCTCTCTCATACCTTCTATTCTGTTCCTTTGGGAGCATATTCAGACATGGAATTACTGGATCATATTTTAATCCTGGTTTTTAATTTTTTGAGGTATTGCCATACTCTTTTCCACAGTGATTATACAGTTATTCATTTCTGCCAACCATACACAGGGTCTCCAATATCTATTCGCTATTGGAGCACTTCCCTCTTTCCTCTTGCCCACCTCTCTTTTCCCCTCCCTCCCTCTTCCTTCCTTTGGCTAATAGCCTACCTAGGGGTTTTAAGGGGTACCTTATAATAATTTTGACTTGTTTATCTCTGATGATTAGTGTTGTTGAGGATTTTATGTGCTTTTCTTCTATTTTTGTTTGTGAGCCTGGTCTTTAATGGCCAAGTCATCTCTCCAGTCCAGCTCTTCTTTCAAGCTTTAGGATTAGGTTATTTGGTGTGTGTGTGTGTGTGTGTGTGTGTGTGTGTGTGTGTGTCTGTGTCTGTGTCGGTGTGTCTGTGTGTGCGCGCGCGCATGCTCACGCACGCACACGCATGCATGCCTAAAAAAATTACCCCACTAGAGGAGATAATGGTCTCTTCAAGATCTATAGCCTAGCTCGCAAAAACCCCAGTATCAAGCATGAGAAATCTCCCTTTGAGATCTTGGTCAGGGGAATTCAAAGAACTCCCAAAACGATACAGGCTATTGCTATTGCCCTTGGTTCCCTCCCAGAATCTGAAGGTAAGACACTGTACTGAAGATACAACATGCTTCAGACATAGGACTTGGAAGAGTTGAACTGAATATGACCTAGAAGCCTCTTCTCTGAGCACTTTAGCAAGGTGTTAAAGGAGATAAGTAATCAGTTGTCCTGCCCAGCTGTGACTTCTGCAAAGAACAATTACCAAAAGAGCAAGATATGCCCAAAGATGCTAAAACGGCAGTTCTCATTGGGAGCTAACCAACAGCTGTCTAACTGGACTTAAGGCTCACTCACTGGGACAGAAACCATGCCTCGTACTGTAAATCTAGACAACTACCCATGACTCACGGGGTGAGGCCATAGAACCTAAAGGAGAATATACTGTTGCCTCTTCCTTAAGCCACTATAACCCCTAACTGCCTTCCAGTTATCCTTATGAAATAAGTGATTATGGGGTGCCCAGCCCCATTGGAGAACATCACAGAAGAGAAGCCGGAAAGACTGTAAGAACAAAGAAACAGGACATTGCCTGAGAGACTTATGTCTTCTATATATGAAAGGGAAGTTATACTCATGAAATCTCAACTATAGCAATGCCTAAACAAGACCTGAATAATCACAGTGCCCCTGACATCATCCCGACATGGAAGACCCGCCCCTAAAGAAAGCCATAGACAATTAGTGGCTGATGAGGGAGGAAGATGATCAGTCCTCCCCAGGAAGGAGCTCCATAATTAGCTATTCAATACCAGGTGGTCAGCCCTAAACACATACACATATGAGCAACACTGAATAGACTCAGTAGGTTATATTTATATGTATCGTATTATTTTTATTACATGTTTTATATATTATATACTATACATATATGTATTTTATGATTTATGTTAACTGATAAGTACTTGTAATGGTAATAATTAACAAAAAAAGCCATAAATTTGAGAGGGGGAAGACACAGAAAGTACTGAAGGGAGGGAAGATTATATGAAATTGAGTAAATATAATAAAAATAATAATATATCCTAATTAAATATACCAACTTTAAAAGTACAAATCAAGTTAAGAAAGGGTATTTACCTATGTCCTTACATGAGCCTAACTATTCAATAAAGGAAATTTAGACTCCAGTTTAACCTGATTGCTTACATCCATAATATCACTTTCAACATTATTGCCAAAATATTAACCAAATGCTACAATGAAAAACCAAAAAGGAGCCACTGTCTTAGGGCA